AAATATTTTTTATACATGTATTACACTACACATCGACATTTATAATTAATAAAAATCTATAATATAACTTAAAAATAATTCATTTAATTAATTACTAATAAATTAAGAATTAATTAATTATGAAATCAAGTAATTATTTAAATTATCTAAATTTTGAATATAATGTAATTACCTGTAAATCTAATGTTCAATACTAAAATATTTTACGTAATTTATCATAAAATTAATATTACAATTAACATATTTATAAACAAAAATTTATGTATAAAATTTCCTATTTATTTCTAAAGAGAATGTGAATTTGTAAAACAATGAATTTTGTTCTATATGTTACATTATAATTTATAAATCTTTGAAATGGAAAAATTAAATATATTTGTATTGTTTTCGAAGTAAGTATTATAATAATTATATGAAATATTTAACATATATATATATGTGTGTGTGTGTGTATGTATATTAATGTATACGACCAAATATATATTATAAATTTATATTAAAATTTAATGTATAAAACTTAATAAACATTTTTTTAATGAGAGATTTTTATTAATATTTGCATTAATTTTTTCATGTAAATACTTTTTCTATGAAGCTTTATCTATGTAGTAATTCTTTTTTAATTATGTAATAATTAATGTTCATATCGTTATTGAAGTTTAAAAAATATATTTTCAAGATTTACATTTTAAATAACCATTTAATGATAATTATTAGAAATATATACATAGCTAATAAAAAAATATATTCAAATATTTTAAGTTTTTAGCTATGTGGTATATACACTATTAAATTTTAAACTGTTTATCTGTCAAAATATTCACGCATTGGTGTATTTTCAATTGCTGTAATTTCAAGGTGTATTTTCAATTTTTTATTTTATAAGCAATTCTATAAAATTTAGTTAGTTGAAATCTGTTCGAGAAGATCAACGACTTACCATTCCTAAGATGAAGCTAGCAGCAGCATTGCTATTATCAAAACTCATATGTATGTCAAGAACACGCTAAACATGAAGGTAACGCCAACATATTTGTGGACAGACTCAAGGGTAACTTTCGCATGGATAAAATCCCACGCATCACGAAGGACTTTCTGAGAAATCGGATAGCACAAATTCAAGAGATCACCTCAGATTCTCAATGGAACTATGTTCCCGGAACATATAACCCTGCTGACTGTGCCTCGCAAAGACTGACAACCGCTCAACTCCAAGATCATAACCTATGGTGAACAGGATCATCATGGATGCAGTCAACAGAATCGTGGCCAAAGCAGCCAACGCAAAGTGACGAACATTATGAACAGGAAGCTCACCCTGGCATCTCTCTTGCAGCTACTGTACAAAAAACTAACTATCACGGGGGTATAATTTATAAATTCTTAAAACTACATAAGATATTGAGAATTACAGCCCTATGCATCAGATTCATTGAACGCCTCAGGAAAAGGCATGAGCCATCTCCAAACACCCATGTAACTCAACAGAAAGTAGAAAATTCACGATTATTCTGGATAAAGGCGACCCAGGCTGCCTATTTCTTCCATGAACTAAAAATGCTTGAGTCAAAAATGAGCCTACCAAATGGTCACACATTCCATCGCTTAACAGTGTACATCGATTCACAAGGAATCATCCGAGTAGGAGTGTAAATGAAATCATCCTTAACAGACGAACAAAAACACCCGGCAATTTTACCACGTCAGTCACGATTGTCGAATCTTATAATAGCTCAGGCCCATGAAAAAACGATACATAGAGGCGCCCAACTCACCCTAGCACATACACGGCAGCAGTATTAGATTCTAGAAGGACGACAAGCTGTAAAATCTCATACTCTGCGATGCACTACATGTGCACGTCAGAGGGAAATCCGTACTCAACAGTTGATGGGACAATTACCGCTGTCTCGAGTAACACCATCAAGACCATTTGCATATACGGATGTAGATTATGCTGGCCCTCTAACAATCAAGATATGGAAGGACCGAGGTGCAAAGATCCAAAAGACATGGTGTTCGAAATTAGTGATGTATTCTTGGTTGGAACTGCCAATGCTTCAATAGCTTAGTTTGCCGCCCGCCCTAACAGTTGCTCGGGAAAGAGATAGGTCGAAGGGCTGTACAAAGGTCGTAAAAGTTGGTTAATTATATATTTATTATAGGATTTATTACACAATTACACAATACATATCGGTATCTTGGAATCTTCTTGAGTCTAATGTGAAGATACGATTTCTTGAAACATTTCTTGTATTGTATGTGTCACTACACAAGATGCTCTTGAGATCGTTAGGTTAAGTTGAATTGAAAAGGTTTATAAAGACAAGCAATTACTGCACACTCCTTGTCAGAGAGTGTGAGATACTGTTAATGATAGTGTTATGCCGATTTTGCCACCAGTGGGCAATAATTGAGTAGGTCGCGCGGAACGTGTACTCACAGTGATACAATAGCGTTGATCTGATTCTGGGGTGAATAGTTTACCATAGAGCATGCGGTAAGGCGTAGTGTGCGTGGCGGTCCGGCTCTCTCGTGAATGAAGTAATAGCATCAACTCTCGTCGATGGTTGAATACTAA